TTCCGATCATTCACTTTTCCATTTAAAACAAATGAGATTCAGTTGACCAGATCCATCAAAAACTTATTTATAACACACTGAATTACTTTCTTTAAGCAGATATTCGCTTGAAGGGATTCAACATTAAATCTAGCACATGACATTTTATATACATTTCATTTATTTCAAGCTATTGGAAAATTTAAACCCGTTCTTTGATCTGACTTTATTTTATAAACCCGGTGAGTAAGTAAAAACATATTTCTTATGAAAATAAATACCTTATACTTCAATTAACTAAGATTATTTTTATAGAACTATTCATCAATCTGTACGATAATACTATATTTTTAAGTTCACAACTTAATTTAATTCACTAATATATTTTATTCAGTTAACTACGATTATTTTTATAGATTCATTATAATCTGTAACATTTTGGTTTAATGTTTAAGCTAATGAAGAAATTGTCATAAACAAATTAAATAACCTAAATGATAATAAAAGTTTTTATTTGTTTGTTTGAAGTTACGCACAAAGCTACACAATGGGCTATCTGTGCTCTGCCCACCACGGGTATCGAAACCCGGATTCTAGCGTTGTAAGTCCGCAGACATACCGCTGGGGGCGAGAATAAAAGTAAACACAGTTGAAAATATGATCATTTTGAACTAAGGTTTGTTTGTTTTTTAATTTCGCGCAAATATACCCGAGGGCTATCTGCGCTATCCGTCCCTAATTTAGAAGTGATACACTAGAGGGAAGACAGCTAGTCAACACCACACACCGCCAACTCTTGGGCTACTCTTTTACCAATGAATAGTGGGATTGACTGTTGTATTATAACACTCCCACGGCTGAAAGGGCGAGCATGTTTGGTGAACTAAGGTACTTGTTTTAATACCCGAGTTTTAGGAACTTTCAAACATCCAATTATGTCACTTACGCTTAAATTTTTGTAAAGATTTCATTACTCAACTTTTCTGCGAATCAGTTGTCATTTTAAAGGTAATCAAATTGAAACTGTTCTTTATAATATTTTATGTCAATAGGAAAAACAACAATTAAAACAATGACTTACGGTACGAGAAATTGTTCAGAATTTAAAAGATATTTGGAAATTGTGAAAAAGAAAAAGCACGAGTTGTTGTTGTTTAATGAAAGTCACATTAGACAATCTGCTGCGACAATCGAACCCGGGATTCTAGTGTTGTAAATCCATAGACTTACAATTGTCCCACAGAGATATAAAAGCACGATCCCGAAAAAAAAAGAGAGAGAAAAAACTAAGAACGTGATCTAGGATTTAGAAAGGTATCAGAAACACGTGATCGAAGGCGCGAAATATACTGCATACTCACATTTACTTT